AATCATCCTATTCGAACGATATATTTCAGTGGGCCCCATTTTAAACCTTTTTTTTATTATTTAAAAAAAAAATTATTTGCATCCTCACCGTAGATCACTGTGATCTACGGTGTAGATCGGACACAACATACATCTCTATATGCGATGTCCGTATGCAATAATTTTTCTTTATGGAGAGCGCATATCAGCCAATTCACATATAATTACATTTCTAATACATACATTTTACTTTTTTTACATTTGTACCGCTCAAATTTTTCATCAAATAAAATCCATCTTGTCATGCATCAGCGGGAAGAAACATATGTAATTTGATTAAGGGTATAATTAAGATATGTCAGCTCAGCTCAAGCTAAAAATTAATGACTCATAAATTAAATTCTTGGAGTTAACAAGTCAAATTTAGGTATAACCAACCCAACTGATCAACTCTCACGAGTCTTAAAAAAATTATTAATATATAATTAAAGAGTAAATTAAATACAGACCACTTGAAATCTGTTATTTACAAATCTAGCATCCTATATCATCAATTTTTTTCAAATTCTCACTCAAATATCAAAATTCAATGTAAAACCCTAACCGATATTTTTCATTTTTATCAAATTCTTAATACTTCGATCGTGACACACACATATATACATAATTGGATAGTTCAAATAAATCACCTGAATGATTAATTTATAAACATAAATGTTTCCAAGCTTATTCAAACATCCAAGAAAGGAGATAATAGTGATTCTTATCAAAGAAATCTTTGGCAAAAAATGAACTTTTATCATTAGTTGGACAATTTAAAAGATAATGTGCATTATCACCAAGATACATGCACCTTTAACTATTACACATATTTAGGATCATCTAAGGGAAAAGTAGGGCTCATTATTAGAATGGATTTAAAGAGCCAAAAGACTTATTATTATTATTAGAAGACGAGAATCCAAATTATTTTCCTCTTATAAGAAGTATTAAGGAAGAATTGCATACATAGCATTTGAATATTAATATTTACAAAGCATAGCTCCAATTGCTAACTTTATGAAGAACCCCTCTGTATATTAGGTAGAACATTGCCCTTAATGCCTAACATATTACAAAACTCCATGAGGTCTAGGGATGCGGTGTCCGTATTAAAGGTATTAACGTTGTGCCCTTAATCGGTATCCGTTAGATATGTGCTCTGTATACGGACGCCGCATGCAGAGATTCATGCGATTTGCTTCAAAAGAGCATTAACAGATACCCCCCAATTCATGTCGAACAAGTAACACTTCAATTTTTGTTTTGTATAATTATACCATCAAAATCAATCATGTACATGTAATGTCCGATATATGTAAAAAAATAAAGTTTAGCTGTTAGATATGCCAATGCATAAGAATTGTGTTGTATGTATGTAAATCTTCTTAAACATATATTTCAAAGTTGTGAAAAGAGGTGATAGAAGCGTTAGAGGATAGGCAAAGATTAAAAGATCAATTGCATAAACAGGGTTGATTTTGAAGGTTGGGAGAAGATATACAATAAAAACAAGCCTTTATTCCCCTGTGGGGTTGGCTATATGAATCTTTTTTCTCCATTGTCCTATTAAGCATTATATTTTCATTTAGTTCTAATAAATTAAGATAATCTTTTATACAATATGCCCACCTCCTTTCTTGAACATAAGTTGAATCTAAAACATCTACTCACCTCACCGGATCATCAGATGGTCGATGTTTAATGTGACCAAACCATCTAACATGACTCTCTCTAATAGTGTTCACGGATATATTCATTTAGTATTTTCTCTTTAGTGTCAAGCCACTCACCCGCCTATGCATTCTCATCTCAGCAACAGAACTTTGTTTTATTCTTCTCTTTTAAAGGCCAACATTCTGCGCCATAAAGCAATGCAGATCTCACCATCTTATGAAATTTTCTTTTCACTTTAAGCTGTACTTTTCTATCACACAATAGGTCTAGTGCATTCCTCCACTTCAACCAACCAACTTGAATTCAGCTCATAACATCTCCATCTATATCACCATCACTTTAAACAATAGACCAGAGATATCTAAAAGTTTCACATCTTTTAATGATTTGATCACCCATAATTACAAATCTTCCACTAGAACTGCTACTACTACTACTATTAAAATTACATTCTATGTATTCAGTTTTAGGTCTTCTCACACGAAGGCCTTTTGACTCCAATGAAGACATCCATGATTGAAGTTTTTCCTGAACTCTTTATCTAATTTTATCTACAAGAAGGATATCATCAGTATTTCTCTAATTTTATCTACAAGAAGGATATCATCAGCGAAGAGCACAAACCAAAGTACATCCTCCTGTAAATGTCCAATAAGAGCATCAATAAGTAAAGCAAATTAATATGGGCTTAAAGCCGATCCTTGATATACTTCAATTGAAATAGGAAAATACTTGATCAATCATCCTATTCGAACATAAGTAACAATTCCATTATACATATCTTTAATAACTTGAATAAAAATCATATCAACACCTTTCTTTTTTACAACTCTCTACATGACTTCTCTTGGAACCTTATCGTAAGGTTTTTTTTAAATCAATAAAAATCATATATAGATCCTCCTTATTCTCTATGTACTTCTCCATCAAACATCTCAATTTGTCAACAAGATATAGGAGTGCAGAAATCAATTTGAACTTCCTCTCCAATAAAAGAAGAGAATCTATTGCCAGGATAAATATTAAAGGAGAAATCAGCCAAATTCACACAAAGCATTGGGAGAGATTTTAAGGACAACAAAAAAAATAAAACTATGAATCACCATTGACATAATGGAGAAAATATATTAAGAAAGCAATTTTAAATAAGAAAATACCATTGGAAAACAATTTTACATGCTAAATAGATGTTAATAAATAATCACTTTATTTTTATAGAAGATTCCATGTGCAACAAAGATTTTCATAGCAAAGACAAGCATAATATATAAAAGAACTTTACAATGACTTTGCTAAGGTATTGCTAAGAGAAAAGGGTTTAAAGTCAAATAAATTGTCATGAGAATAATAACATTACGCTTAGCTATGCTTGGGGGCTTGCTAGGGTCAGAGAACTATAAGACATGAGTGAACTGCACGCCAACAATAGCCCATGAACCAGTAAATAACATAGATGTAGAGAATTAGATTTTTTTAAATAATAATAAAAAAAAGGTATTATAACATAGATGTAGAGAATTAGATTTTTTTAAATAAATAAAAAAAGGTATTTACATATGTGCCACACAAATCTTATGTATTTACGTACATAACACCGGCATTTAAGAAGTCTAGGGATTTATTTATAAATGTTGCAAGGCTCTATATAATTTCAAGTGTTAATGAAATTAATACGCTTTTTTTACCTCAAAATAATTCTTTAAAATTTAACAAGGATAAATTTGCAATTCATTGAAATATATATATATAATATATAAACAATTAATCTAAATTATAAACATTTTTTACAAGAAAAATAATGCTTGCAATGTAAGGAAGCATACTTGTTAATTGTCAGAGCTGTCTCCCGGATGGATGTTGGATAGTCAAAATATTAGCCTTAGTATCATGAGAAATAGATGGCTAAAACACTCGATTAAAAGTTCGAAATAATCAGCATATTAAACAGCAAGCAAAGCTAAACTTGAAAGCTAACGTGCAGTTAAATCCAAACAAATGGTCTGCTAGGGTTGGCTACAATTTTTATAAAGATGGTTGTAAAAATGCTACACCCAAAGCAACAACATTTATGAAAATTATTGTGGATATTATAAATATTTTTTTCAAAAAAAGACAATAATTTTCTTATAGACATCACATTTTAATTGACTGATTGCATAAAAAAAGAAACTAATTGTCATAAAAATTTCTAGAAAGCAATAAGAAAGCAGCAGGGAAATAAAATTACAGTGGCAGTCTGAAAAACAAAGCTGTGAGAAAACTATCCCAAACACCCTAAATTACTCCCAATAAACCACCTGTAGGACTTAAGAACTAAAGAATTTCATAGCTAGTAAAGAATGAAGCCAGAGCTAAATTTCAGCAGATTAATAAGAAATGTAGCAGTCGCTTATAGGAAATATAATTTCAGAAGCCCAAACAAATATACTCCTTTTCTGTTGTGAGGAAGAAGAAACAACAATGAGAAAAGACTCACAAATCAAGAACGACACACAGATTCTCTGTAGTTGAATGAGTTGCTTTACAAATATATTTCTTTGAAATAAAACATAAATCATCATAAACCAACTGAATCGTACCTTAAATTCTCAATCTTTTATTCTCCAGCGTTCATGAATTAGAAATAAAGAAGCAAGAAAAAACCTGATTTACTTCCGGCCATTACTAAAATGCACAAAACAGTTCTTAAAACATGTTAGAAAATTTTTAATCTAATGTCGCTGATAAAGCGAGCAATTGCTCTAATAACAGAGGTCAGGTTTCCATGTCCTTGGAAAATGCAATCCAGTCCAGAATCTGGTAATTGCATATAACCTATCTACCAGGTCAAACGTATGTGTTAGGTGTCCATAATACCTACAAAATTTAGTTTTTTTTTTATTATTTATTTATTTTTTATTTTACAAAGGGCAGTGGAACAAAGGTGAAGTCAGGATAAAAGTAAAAGCCATGGCCACATTGCCTGCAGAACTGATCAGATTAGAAAGATGGGTAAGGCTTGACCATGATCAATCTTCATAAGCTCCGTACAGGAAGCAGTTAGCTGCAAAAAAATGCCCAAAAAGCCAGAGTAAAACACTGAAATGCAGAGCCCACACAACTCATACTAAATTTAAATAATAAAAATTTACCAAAGTAAAAACCAAAAATATATGCAATAAGCTCATTTGAAGCAAATGTTCAAATTCTAAACAATACTACAATAAAGCAGTTTTCTCACAAACTAGAAACAGAGAAATTGAATAAAATTATGTAAATAATCGAGCGAATGAAAAGTCTACGCTACCATGTTTGATCGACATTCAAATAGTTTTTCATGCGCGGATAAGAATCAGCATTGGTGTATGTTTTATGCAACTCACATTGGCTATAAATGAATAAAAAATCATTTAGCGCGGCTAATTTTAAGCATTATCAAGGTTGCATTTACAAAAATTACATCATTAGCTATGTCTGCTTCCAGATTTTCGCATGAGATTCAGCTTTAGCTGCTGGCCTAACACAAAAGAAAATCAAGGTAGCTCTGGTTATCAACAGCATTTATACATTTACTGTGGATTGCTAAAAATTTTCTTGCCACCAAACCAGATAATTAGCATGCTTGACGGTTAGATATAGCAAACCCTGAAATTAAAATCAATTTTTGAGTTTAATAAGATAAATGGAAAGAAAATTTACCAGTTAGGGAGTTTCTGAGAAGTAATGCTGGGCCGAGTTTATTATGGTATCCACCAAAATAATAATTCATAACAAGCATACTGCCTTACTCCTCAATCGTCATGCAATACCCAAAAAAGCTATTGCTATAAAGCCTTTATCAATCTTTAAATGTCCACATTTAAACCCTAAATTAAAACAGAGGCATACATACACATCAGGATAAACAAAATAATAATAAAATAAATAATAGCCATCAAAAGCGACCAACCTGTCACATATTCATTCCTCCTGTGCAAGCCCACGAATGCACCATTTTTAAAACTCACTCTAGCTCATTCCTGTACTTTGATTCCTAATCTTGATCTTAATTTTAGTTCCCTTGCTACCCTGCAAGGTATCACGGGTAGTTTCAGCAGGTTTTGAAACATGTACATCACTTTCTTCCAATTTATTCGAGTCCCCTATAGAGGAAAATCCAGACTTGTAAACTTTTCTGGTATCCTGCGACTCGCTAGCAGAAGTTCTTGCTTCATCTTCTTGCATTCGAGCAAGCCCTTTGACCAACTTTTTCTTCTCCTTCTTCAAGCGATTGTGCTCCAAATATGCAGGATCATCAGAACGATGTCCCTCTCCATGTTTCTTCTTACTACCCTTGTCCTTCTTCTCTTTCTTCCTTTTCCTCTTTCTTTCAAGAAAATCCGTGTCGAGAGATGCATCATCAAGCTTCCATACAGCCAAACTTTGATCACCACTGCCATCTCCAAGAACATTACTTGAATTAGCAGTACACTGCAGCTCCTTGCCATCTTCATCTTTGTTTGTTAATTTTCTGGAAACAATGATTGCTGTCACTCGAGATTCATGGTAACAAGAAGAGCTCACTTCCTCAATATTTTGATTGCTAGTGCATGGTAGTTCGATGGGTCCCTTCATAGGGGGCGCATCTACAGAGACAGAACTGCTGTGCCCTACCTCCGTTTCATTTACCAAGGCACGAGCTTGCCCTGGTAGTTGATCGGGACCGTCTGCTTTACTCGATGATGCAGGTTGCTTGACTCTTATCTTTAAAATATTCATCCTCCCCTCACTTCGATTAGAAACAGTATCAACCTCCTTGGTTGCTTCTGGAATGGAAGGTGCATCAACTGAAGGGTTTGGAGTATCAGCAAGCACTTCCTGAGTTCTTGTGATCTTCAACTTCAATGATGTAGACCTAGCTGGTTGCTCACCAGTTGATTCCATAGGTGTTACCTGGTTTATTTTGACATTTCTGAAGCCGTGAAGTGTTGGTACCCTGATAGAATGAAAGAATCATGGAACTGACTCTTACACTTACAAAAATACATCAAAATAGAAAAGATACAAGAGTCAAATATCTTTTCTGAAACTCCCTGCAAACACAAATATCACAAATCAAAGGGAGGGAATGACCAAGGGGGCTACTCTTATTCGTTTCATAACCAGGTCATCCACATATAACAAGATAGCATGATACAAATTGGATCTTTGATTTTATTTTTTATTTTTTTTTTTGTTTTTGCTTGATCAGTTTATTTCCTTACCCAAGTTGAAAGCTGTGCAACATGTTGCCACAATATGGTGTGTACTGCTACTTCAACTAAATCTAATTGAATTAATGGTTTCACAAGGATCTTTAGATGGCTATTAATGAAATTATTGTGAGGACTAAGAGTCCGTTTGAGTCAGTTGCAGTAAACTAGTTTAGTTTTTAAAAACTACAGTGAGTAAAGCAAAGACTTTTCCTTCCGAAGAAGTTGGATGTGAGCTTTTATACAACCAACACACACCAGTAAATCTAACTAAAAGAAAAAATGCTTCTTATTGCAAAAAATTATTGAATGAAAAAAAAATAATAATAATAAACTGCAGCCACATAGAACACTGATAACTTTTTGGAAAACAAAACCTAAACAAACTTTGCCAAACAGATCCCAATATATTAGGTTGATTGGTTGATCTAATATAATTATATCAACTGCAATAAACCCTTCGGAGAATAAGCAATGGAAGCGGTATGGCTAAAGAGAAAGGATATTAGTGTATAAAAAACATGGGCTAAAGAGAAAGGATATTAGTGTTTAAAAAACATGAGCATCTATTTAAACATACATACACAAGGAAACAGATGAGAAATATTTCCGAATTATGGGGATATAATTAATCGTGTGCGTGCATACCTCTAAAAGGTTTGATGCAGAAGTTCAGAGATAATAAGGAGAATCTACATTTGATTTCTGCTTATTATCTCTGATAGGTGTTACCTGGTTTATTTTGACATTTCTGAAGCCGTGAAGTGTTGGTACCCTGATAGAATGAAAGAATCATGGAACTGACTCTTACACTTACAAAAATACATCAAAATAGAAAAGATACAAGAGTCAAATATCTTTTCTGAAACTCCCTGCAAACACAAATATCACAAATCAAAGGGAGGGAATGACCAAGGGGGCTACTCTTATTCGTTTCATAACCAGGTCATCCACATATAACAAGATAGCATGATACAAATTGGATCTTTGATTTTATTTTTTATTTTTTTTTTTGTTTTTGCTTGATCAGTTTATTTCCTTACCCAAGTTGAAAGCTGTGCAACATGTTGCCACAATATGGTGTGTACTGCTACTTCAACTAAATCTAATTGAATTAATGGTTTCACAAGGATCTTTAGATGGCTATTAATGAAATTATTGTGAGGACTAAGAGTCCGTTTGAGTCAGTTGCAGTAAACTAGTTTAGTTTTTAAAAACTACAGTGAGTAAAGCAAAGACTTTTCCTTCCGAAGAAGTTGGATGTGAGCTTTTATACAACCAACACACACCAGTAAATCTAACTAAAAGAAAAAATGCTTCTTATTGCAAAAAATTATTGAATGAAAAAAAAATAATAATAATAAACTGCAGCCACATAGAACACTGATAACTTTTTGGAAAACAAAACCTAAACAAACTTTGCCAAACAGATCCCAATATATTAGGTTGATTGGTTGATCTAATATAATTATATCAACTGCAATAAACCCTTCGGAGAATAAGCAATGGAAGCGGTATGGCTAAAGAGAAAGGATATTAGTGTATAAAAAACATGGGCTAAAGAGAAAGGATATTAGTGTTTAAAAAACATGAGCATCTATTTAAACATACATACACAAGGAAACAGATGAGAAATATTTCCGAATTATGGGGATATAATTAATCGTGTGCGTGCATACCTCTAAAACTATACCTTTGAGTTGCAACTAGTTGACGCTCCTTGAGCTGCTAAGATTTTTAAGTGTTTTATTGCCTGCGTTGAGGTATGTAAATATTACTTATTAAAGGATAAACATAACTTTTCTAGTTAGGGACGTTATCCTGACTACTTGTATTAGATTCATATCTATTTTATAAGATTACCAATAATGCCCTTGCTGTTTCAATTTACATGTCATAAGCTTCATTTATTGCTTATATTGAAATAATTAACAACCTTATTTTATTGTTGCACAACTAAATACTAGTCATATTACAAGAAAGTGAAAAGTAACGTATTTTTTCTATATTATATTTGTAAAAATTTTGGTCGTTTGTGAGTGATGATATGTAGGTATGTAGAACACTTTTGGATAATGGCTAGTAGTGTCTACAGCCCACAAAGTGACGAAACTACAGAAAACCGTCAGGTTTCATTGGGTTGGTACTAACTTTTCTAGTTTTAGAGTGTCTGTTAAAATCAAGTGTGTATATATATATACACACACACATTGAAATTGAATAATAAATAACTGCTAAATCATACACTAGTAAAATTTGATTTGAAATAACTACAAATTTTCAATTTCACATTAGTTATTATATCTTCCTTCCTGCGTCAGGGTGGTTGTTTCCTTATTATTATTTCAATTTATTTTAGTAAAATATTTGCCTACATTAACCATGACTTTTATTTATGAAATGAAATAAATTATCTTTCTTGCTTATTTTCATTATTATTTATATACAACATCTTATGTTGAGAATGCAAAAAATGTTAATAAACTTTCATCATTCATTGAGTTGTCGGAGTGTAACGTCTTTTGAACCCGGGATGAGAAAATTTTCTTTTGAGATATTGATATCTTATTTTGGCTGCTAATATATTGAACTCAAGAAAATATTTTGGTTAATGTAGATACTTGAAAACAAAAAATATACAAATAAATAAATAATTGCAAGTACTACTTTTTTCGCAGGCATGTACTTCCAAGTTGTTATTAGGCTGATTAGGGCAGTCCAAAATAGAATTGGTTCATGTCCTGCCCAAGGAAGTCCATTTGTTGAGTTTTGGAATTGGTTAAAAGTATTTTTATTTGCTTAGTATAAATAGATTTGCAGAAAAATCTATATGATGCTTTTGCTTTTAGAGCATCAGAGTAAAAAACACTAACCCTAATTCTAGAACTCTTTGAAGACACAAGTTTTATATCTCAAACCCTAAATCTACAAAAACTAACATGCTTCACCAAAATCGCCCCTACAATGTTTCCCTAAACCTTAAACTTTTGGCCAACCCTAAAACTACACTTTTACCCTTAGCTGAAATTATAAAGTGAAGTTCCATCATGCCGCCAAGAAGAAACATACAAACGGATGTCCAATAGCTCACGATGGAGGATATGCATAAGAATATACTCCAATTGCTGCACAGGCTTGCTGAATTTGAAAAAATACATCTTGAAAAAGTTGCTAATCCAAAATAGTGACTCATCAAAACAAGAAAAGGTAGCTAACTACTGCCACCAAGGGCCTCCTCGGTGACTTGACATTGCATATAAAAAATGAGATAATATGACTTTAGAATTGAGAATGATTTTGATAATCAAATGAATCCAAATGATTTTATCGAGTGGCTCTAAATCATTAAATGAGTAGTACAAACATGTTTTACAAGATAGGAGGGGCAAATTATTAGACATCAAACTCAAGAAGAACACTACCTTGTAAAGGAAAAATCTGAAGTGCCTTTAGCAATAAGAAGTGAAGTATATAAGATAGTGTAAGATAAAATGGGAGATGTAACACAAATACTACTCCCACATTATCAACAGGGTATGCTCCTAAAACTTAATATAAACAAGAGATATTTATATGTGAAGGATAATACAAATGAATTTGAAAAACTCCTACAAAAATGTGAATTGGGGGAGCTAGATGACCACATGATCGCATTGTACATTAAGAGTCTTGAAACCATCCATTGACAATGCGATATGAAATATTAATCCTACTTCACGTACAAACCCTAGTTGTGAAGATAGAAAAAAAACATCATCACATTGAGAACGCCACTTTCATCATGTAGAGCTCAACCCCAGCGTCAAGCAACAATAAAAAAACTGTTAGAGCACCCAAACCAGCACCATCAAAGGAGAAATTAATGCAGGGTAGAGAGAATGGAGGTAGATTCAACGCCCCAAGACCTTTCTAGACAAGAAAAATTTCAAATTGATAATTTCGAGCACATAATATCCAATTACCTAACACTGTCATTGTCAGGACCCAAGTCCCCGATGTAAAAAGTGAAGGATTGCATTAGAGAGTCGACTGCCAACGTAAAAATTTTGTCAAGACATGAATCTTTTAAATTATTGTGTCTTCCTATGGAAGATATGCACTTTATGATCTGAATATAGTGAAAAATGTGCAAGTGTCTTTGTGCCGTGTTTGGATACAATGTTAAATAAATAAGAGTTACTAAATTATAAACAGATCCAAGCAAAAAAATTAGTTCATGAAAAAAATATTTGGACAGAAACTTAGAATATCAATACTCTCACATATAAGCTAAAAAAAATTAGTATATATTATAATTAATAAGAAGATAAATATCTTATGCATTAAAAAAACTAAATGAGTTAGAGAAAAATGCTAAAAAAATTAATAATTTAAGTTTTAAACTTTGGTATTTAAGTAGAAATCGTACTAAAAATGTTATAAGTGTAATTATATATGAGTTTGAAAAATAATACTGTAAAAATTAATAGAATTGAATAAGAAATTATCGATCTAAAATTATTGTCGATAAGAAAATTCTTAATTTTAGAATGACCAAAAAATATTAATACAAAGGATAACTCCTGAAGTAGGAATATTGTAAGAGATTTAAATAAATATGTTGGTAGACTTATACAAGAGTTTATAAGTATTCATGATGATTATGATTTTGGAATGACTAATAAAGAAAAGAGAGTCATATTAGATTTTGCTTTATCTTATGATTTTATTATTAAAAGATGTGTGATAAAAATTAAAAGAAAAAATTCTTATGAATAAAAATAGTTGATGGTAAAATAATAATGTGCAAGAAAACATTAAAAAAAAACATTTTAAACATTGATTTAAAAGTAAAAAACCTTGAAAATTGAGAAGAATATAAGGTGACCTGTAAGGAGACTAAGAGAATAATTTGAAATACTAAAAATGTCTATTTTTTAGCGATCTTTATAATAGATTAAACACAAAACATAGTGAAAGATATATGTATAAACAAGTTAAGCAAAAATATAAGTAAATTAAAGATTTAGTTTAAATAAAGTGTATTAAGGATAAAAATAAAAAAAAAATGATATCACTAAAATCATTTGTATTTTCACAATTTTTATTGAAAAGGTTATCGAAATATCTCACTCGCTTTTATTAAATATCATCATCTAGAAAATGATATGTGAAAAAACTATAGAACCTGATGGTATTCCAATATAAGTGTGAAAATATTTAGTAGAACTGAGAATTTCGTGACTTACAAATATTTTAATATTATTTTAAATATTAAAAAAATTCATGATGAGTAAAGAAATAGTCTATTGATTCATATTTTTAAAAATGTTAAATAACAATATGCAAATTATAGAGAAATTAAGTAAATGTGTAATACATTAAACTTATGGGAGAGAGTAATTGAAACATTGGTTCCAGCATTATAAGAAAATTTCTCAAAATCACTTTTGATTCATGCCGAAAAGTCTACTATGAAAGCTAAACATTTACTGACAGATTTGATGGAAAAATATAAAGTGCAAGTAGAATTTAGATATGATTTTTGATCATTTAGAAAAAACCTATGATAAAGTTCAAAGAGAGGTACTTTGGTGATTTTTATAAAAGAAAGATGTTGATATTTTCTTATATACAAATCATTAAAGACATATATACTAAAGTTGTTGTGTTCGAACACAAGGAGGATTGACCGAATTTGTTTTCTATTTCAGATGTATTACATCAAAGATTGATCGAATTATGTATTACATCCAGTTAGAACATCCATAACTAAAGCAAAAAGATGTGGGCTTA